ATGAATGCTCATTATATGCTCATGAACATTATATTGGACAAATTAATAATGAAATTATTTGCAGCTACCATATTTTCGAGAAGGGCAAAGCTTCATACTGTTACGTTTTTCTTTCTTCTGACACCAGTTGTTACGTTATTTTCTTCCTTCACGTTCGTAAGAGGTTCGTGTAGATTTGGAGTGAATAACGATGACACTTGATGAAGTATCGAAACACACTTAATTTAGCCAATATTAATCAGGACAGCTCCAATAACACGTTTTGCAATCGTCGATGAACTACTATAAACACGCTGACACGATCAGCGACACAGCCTTCAGGTTATCACGGTGGAGACAGCTTCACTGCAAAGCTCCCGACTCTGTTCGGTCGTTCTCGGAACTTCACGTATTCTCGAGACTCTCCACGCTACAACTCGCGATGCACTCGACGACACACAAGCACAGCTCCCGACTCTTCAATTCAGTCGTTCACGGAGCTCAACACGCTCTCTCGACGTTGCACTAACCGCGATATACTACGAGACTCTTGCGGTGCACTCGACGACCCACTCGGCACTCGCTGGCCTGCTGTCAACTCGATCTACTCCGCAGGGACTGACTCGCTAGACGAGATACACCTCAATGAGAGATATACACTTTAGATACTGACTGACTACGGACCATCAAGGTTTATATAGCTTTCGGCTTGCGTTCGAGAACATTCTGGGCTAAACCGGTAAGAATTCGTTCCAGAAGGTTCTCCAACAGCCCATGGCATATCGTCACTTTTGTCGCCAAATGGGCAATTTATCGCCAAATGTGGCAACACTGCCTTCCCTTGCCATTTTATGGCAACCCTAAAACTGCTTTGCGGGGGAAGCCATCTTACCGCGCCTGTACATTTCGTAACAATACATTCCTTTACCTAACTCTGCATTGAGGAAATATTGGGTGCCAAAAATTCATCTCTACAACAAGTAATATAATGTTCGGTAATGAACTTAAAATGAGTTTTATTCCAAAAATACAGATTGAATGCAGAAAAGTGTATATCTACCGGGAATGCAGCTTATCCAAATCCATGTGGTAAAATCAAGACTCAGTTATTTCTACTCACGGAAAAAATTGGATATGAGGAAATGTTTAAAAAAGCCGAGCATCACTATGTTGAAGAAGCACTGCTGAAATGGTTCACCATTTCAAAGAAACCGCAACTTTTCATTATTTAGACAAATACTAATTATAAGTGCATGCATTAAACGGAGATGTGTAATTGGAAAGACGAATCTAAATCAGTAAGTTTACGCTAAATAGATGATGCATGTATGGTTTTTATGTAAATTATTGCATAAAAAAACTGACATATCATGAAACTGTAAGACAGCAAAAACGAAATTTAGCCTTGACATGATTTTTTTAATAAGAGTCATTATTCACTTCTTTTAAGAAATGCGATAACGTTAATTAGCTTGCCTTTTGTGATTCATCAATTGATTTTTGCACTATTTGGAAAAACAATCTTTTCTTTCTTCGGATATAGCAAACTTCCGGAATTAACCAGCCGAACTTTTAGTCTCTCAAAGTAGTGTTCAACCGCATATTATTTCATATCAATGGGATCAGTTTGCAAGGTTACTTTAATTAACCAGTTATTTTATGTTTTAGATCTTTACAACTACTTCTACTTACCGTTTTCCCGCCAGAATGCAAATTAGTTCGCGTGTATTTAAAGTGAGGTTTTTGCATTGTAAGAGAGAGCGTGTTCTGCATCACGTTACTAGGTTGCTAGATCAGATGGGATTTGCGGTCTTCAGCCTTGGATTGAAATTGCTTAAGTCCATATCCACGCCGTTTAAGTTTCAAGCCAACTTTACATTAACTGAACTACGTAGCCTTTGGGTACTGTGTTATTTGAATTTAAGTTTTACTTTTGAATTTACTGTTGCTCGTAAGTTATCTCGCCATACGTGGTTGGCTGAGTTGTAAGTACAAGGTATGCCTTCTGTTATTATTTAATTTTAAATAATGGTACTTTTACACCATTCTTAAGTTTTAGTTGTTATGTAGCGATGGCTCGCCAGACATCTACCAAGAGTCTGGGCATTTTGGATGAATGCAAAAAGAACCAGACGTTATATGTTTATTCCAAAGAGTTAAAGAAATGATGTATTTTTTTACATATTTATTGCTTGCATTTGAAGCACTATTACTGTACATGAAATTTGATCAGAGATCTATACATAATATTTTATATCTAAATCAGATCATACATAAAACGTTTTGCACAAATATAAAAATAATTCAAATTTGTCATTCAGAAATAAGTTGCTAAATTTTATAAGAAGTTTTGTTTCTGTAATCACTAATAGTAACTTTGTAAAAAGCTTAGTTTCCTATAGAATATTTCAAATACGTATAATTTTCTAATGTTGAGATAATGCAAACATGCAGAGAGTTCCAAAACAATAGGAATACTTTTTGAAGGTTAATGCAATAAAAAATGTTTATCAACATTAAAAAATGAAAATATTAAATTTTTGAACATTGATAATCATTATTTATTACCGTTACAAAATGTATGTTTTGTATCTGAAACTGCAGTGTCCTAATGTTGATCGCATGTAGTCATTCCGTTGTGTTTAATTCCATCAAAGCCCTTCACAGAACATAGACATCAGAATACACCTAAATTGTAGAGGTAAGGATATATTTCTTTTCAAGCAACACAAGTTTTAAAATGTGATTAGAAAACTTAGAGTGCGTGCGAAATGCTAAGACGATGGAGGACTGATTTTGATACTTCTCAGTCACGTGTAACTGTTACCAGATTACGTGAGAAGATTAAGGAGGAAGGAACTATGTGTTATTTGAAGAAATGATTACGCAACAGCAAGAATGGAAAATTGGATGAAATGTGGAAACAGCGTTTCGGACTTTCATTGTGTATGCCCAAGCACCATAGACATTGGATGACATGAGACATATGATTTAAGCTATTTCTGTTACGCCTTCTACTGAAATCATATCAGCTTTGTCTATGTGTTTTGTAGTAATAGAACGTGAACATTATTTTTGGACATACTGAATAATCCATAATAAGCCAATTCATGAAAATTGAAACCGACAGAAATATTTAAATATATAATATAGTAAAATTAATGACTAAATTAAAAAATTATGTCTAGTTAAATGCTCGAACGCAGTTACAAAAGCTTACGTGCTATATGTTTAAACTACATTTAAGGAAACTTATTTTATACTTAAAAAATCTGATGTGTACACCACATACTTGTACTGAATATTCCTGTTCCTTGTACTGAATATTAAATTATACGCATTTTTCTTGCATTTCATTTAAACTTATTTATTAGATTGAATTAAACCTACTTCGCCGACACCGCATAAACCACAATAGAATAAATGCATTCTTTAAAATTCACTTTGTTTACCATAGCAACACTCTGGCGCTAGGTTCACTTAACACTATTATATTTCGTTCATAATATATAACTCGAATGCACAAAATTTATATCATTTAAAGAATTATCTAATCGTTGCCACATGTTCTATTCAAATACTATAATAAATCTAGAACGATGTATAAAAGAAATTAAGCAAACAAAACAAAAAAGAAACAGATTTTCCCAGACGATTGAGTATTTCTCATTCAATTAATTCAGTTTTCACTTCGCGACAAGGCAAAATACATAAAACTCAAAATATCTGTATTAAAAATTACGAAGTAAATCTCAAACTTATTTCCTCGAAAAAATTCCAGAAAGGATTAAGCATGATTTAAAAATAAATGAAGGCGTTATCTTTGTTGTTGCGAAGCTAAGTTTCTCTAGATTGGCAACAAATCCACTAGTCCTGCTGTTTCAAATGTAAACAAGAGCAATGGCCGCCATCTAAAACATTATTAGGCTTAGCGGCACTTAAACAATTTTAAAATTGTTGATAATTCTAAAAATATTGCATACAGATTTACTAAAGGCATAAAAACCTTAACCGGAAGATAAGAACAACAACATAATTCAATCATTTTAAAGCAAAAAATGTACAATTTACAAACATATAAGAGTAAAGAAACTGAGATCACTGAGCCGGGTAACAGAGTGGATATATATATATTGTCAATTATATTTATATACGTTTGGTGCGGCCGATTGCAACCAAAAACGAGGTGCACATCTACATGTTATAGCAGTCCTATATACAAAATTTTAACGTTCTGAGGCTACTCGTTTTTGAGTTATGCGAGATACGTACGTACATACGTTCGTACAGACGCCACGAAAAATTCTCTTCAGAATTCATTTTAAAGCAGTTTTTATAATTTTTTTTGGAGGAAAAGAGTGTTTTATTAATCTGTCCTTACGTACATATATCACGGAAATACATCGTTAAATTTCATTTGAAAGAGGTCAAAATGGGATATTTTCGTTGAAATATGCTGCCTGAAACTTTTCGCGATTACAATACTTCCTTTTTACTTCGTACAAGGAAGTAGAAACACACGGAGTTTATTAGTTTAAGAAATTTTCAAATTTGAACAAATTATGCCCTATTTGTTTTATTGTTTATCTCAGAAAAACCACATAGATGAAATGCAATTTTAAGGAAAAGTAATCCATCTCGGAGTAGTAAATGTATTTAGATATTTTTCTCGTATATAGAGCTTGACTGAAATTCATCTCATTATAAAATATTCTTTTTTATGAAAAACGTACAGGGAATTTATTGATTTCTCAGTGATTTAAATAAATCTTATTCTGATGAGACGTAATAAGACTTATTATATTGAAGCCGAGCAAAATCCACAGTTAAATTTTACATAAGTTTGAATAAAACATAAACGTGTCATACTATTTGTTTTTTTATTTTTGTTCTGTTTTAATAATTTCAAGATTTCTTCTAGTTATTAATTATAAAATAATGGCTCAATATTAAATTATCAGAAAACCAAAATGGCTGCTAGTGAACAGTTAGAGCAAAGTGAGATTTCGTAAAGTCAAAAATTGTTATCTCAAGCTAACATCTTTTGATGTATTTTATTCTCCATAGTTCCAAAAAATAACTCCATCTCAGGAAAGGTTTCCAGAAAAATGTCTGTGCTTACATGAGCATTAATATTTCTGTTTCATTATAAATTTTATATATAAAACCAAACGTGACTTTTGTGCGTAAAACCATGAACTCGAAAACTGTTAGAATGCTAATGTCTGAATGAGTGAAATTTAGTGTGGAAAGGGTGGCTATTAGTAATTTCGCATTCCTATTTATAATTTAGGAAAAGTCAATATCTTTAAAAAATTGCCTACAGAAAATATGAATTCGTCTATTTTTCAGTGTTTATATATAAAAAATAATGTTTACTCAACTTATGTGAATATAAAACATAAGATTTAAAACAGTTCAAAATGCCGCATGAGGTAAGCTTGGGATTCAGCAATTTACAAAGAACATAAGTATTTTCTAGGTTTTACAAATAAGAATTTCAGCTTACGAAAGTTCATAAAAACTTTATTTTGCTACTTATTGCACATAATAACGGATTTCGAATATTTATGGTAATAATAATTAATTATCTTGCATACTACGCTTTAGAAACTAGTAAATGGCCATTATCACTGGAAGAGAAACTGAAATATTAAAAATTATCAATCTGATACACAAATGTTGAAAGAACAGTTTATTTTATTATTAACAAAGTTATCTTTTATGAAAGACAATATTTCGAAGTAAGCTATTGTAATCCTTACATCAGTTATATAACTACTCGAAATATTAAAGCAAATTTATCATAAATCTATAATTTTCACATAGAAGTGAGTGATTTCAGAACTTTCTTTGTTGAACATTACAAACACAAGCAGTTGATCCCTACCTTAAGGCTCAGGATTACAATGTTTTGTTTCAGTTACCTTCGTTCTAAAATACATGACAATGTTTGATATGCTTTAAGTTCAAAATACCTGATATGATATAATATGGGTATTTACTGTTAATAATGCAGTTGTATATCGTTCCTTACTCACTAGTTTATTATATTCGTTTAATAATATAAAGATTTTGAAACATTTTAAGTCGATCTACCTTTGCTGCGACCTCTTATATGTTTACACCAATTGCAATTTTTCATACTTGATGTGTAACTGTTCTGGTTTATGACCATATCAGACATATGTCATGGAAAGGAACCACAGTTTCAGTCACAGGATGTATATTACTGCAGTAAAGAAGGCGATTAAACAAACTTGTGCGTCAGGAACTTTCTAAACACAATTATCAAAAGTTTTCATCCTTTTAATTCGACAAGTGTTTTATTACGGCCATAGGTAAAGGTGGAGTAATGGTGAAGCCATAGATAAAGGTGGAGTAATCAAAATGTTTCCTATAGTGTGGCCTATGATATCGTTAGACTTGCTCTGGTAAATTTATAGATTTCATTGAAATTTACTTCTTTGAACTCAGCAATCCGTATTCGTAATCTGTTTACCTGTTGACTACAAGGTCAAGAACTGGCGTTTTCGCTTGCTATCAGCTATCAATTCGATGTAGTGTAACTTTTATAGCTTCAAATCCTTAGAGGTACATTCACATTATTTATATTAAACACTATGCACAAACCCATAATTCGATAAAATTTTTTTCGTAACAACCGAATGCCAATATTATGGAAACATAAATGCAACTTAACATGAATTTAAAAAAATCATTGCCTTTCAATCCTTGCTAAAATTTTTCTGTAAAACTGAATGTTAGCTGCGTTATTATATAAAAGTTCAGGAACATAACATTGATCATTGTTATTGGAAAAACGCTGTTCAAAGGCTATGCAATCGTGGTCATTACTGCATTTATAAAGCTTGTAGCGATCACGTGGATCTCGGGGCCTTCAGATATGTAACTGCTTACTCGTGTCGCCATCTATTAGCAGCAGTGAAAAGTGCTGCAGTGCACGAGTTTCGCATGCCTTGAATTAATGACCCTGGGATTCGATCTCGGGTCTATTTATTTAATGCGAGTCGAATTCTCTAAGCGCAAAAGAACTCCTGTGTGCTGGGTTCAAGAATTCAGAGTTTTTCGAATTTGCGAGAGTTGATTTGCTCTCGAGATTGCTACAAGCTTTATTCGAAGTTATTCCGGTCTACCAATTATCAGCAGACCGTAAACGACCTTCTAGTGTAAAACGAAACTTAAGCTATAATCATGGACAAATCTAAACAAAATGAAGCTCATATCATCTTCAAATTTAGTTCACCTAACGTACATATAATTAAGGAAATGAAATGCTTTGGAGTTATTCTTTAAAACAATGCATTCTGAACAGTCCACATCAGTATCTAGCTGACAGAAGAGTAAAATATTCAAATAGTTTTTTTAGCATTATGTGGAAGAATTAAGGCATTCTGCCTGTTTATTGAATACCTAGTACTAAATGAAACTAATATAGATTGTCTGTCATTATTCACTGTGTTGGATGTGCGTCCGAATAACACCATTGAGCACTGTTTCAACAATCTGCTGTATCCATTGTTCTTACACTTCACAACAGCTTTCTGCACAACATCCATGAATGTCTTACATCTGTAAGCAGGAATTTAATTTTTATTCATGATCGAGCAAAAAAGAGCAGCATAGAGTAGGATACTTAAACTAAGATATAATGCTTTAATTTAAATCCGCAATGTCATCACCACAGGTTTTAATTACTATGCATCAAACATGCTATTTAAGATGAAGTACTTCATCTACTAGATGATGCGCCTGTATTAAATTTAAGTAATGCCTTAACTAAACACGTTTTACAATTGGCTCCAAAAACAAGCATGCAGAATTATTTGTATCTTTAGGAAAGACTGATTTACATTTATGAAGTAAATGAGATAAAATCGAGAGAATACGTTTTATCAAACCGCATTTCTTGTAAAATCAGAAGCAGTGTAGATGAATCACTGCTAATAGGACTTAGTATCAAACATGCAAACTGTAGTGGCAACATATATTCCATAAGTGGAATAAGAATAACACGTTCCGATGTAAGTGAAATAAAAGGATTTGCATGAAAATGTAATTTACATAATACAAGATCTACAATTAGGGAACATTGTTTTCTAGTTAACGAGGCTTGTGGACCAAGTATATAATAAAACTGCTTTAAATTCAAAATTAGCAATTCACTACCATCATAAACCTAGCTTCGTTAAGAGAAATCTCAGTAATTTTTTGGTCAAAGAATGGCAGCTGTCCTAGGAAGGAGTTGATTCTGAAAGGAAGGGCCATAAATTCCTCTATTTATCGATACATATTTCTGTAGTACTGAAAAAAAATAAAGTTAGTTCTTCATGGACACTGTGCAAAATTTTGTGGATAATGTTACTCTTAATTATGTAGAGCTGGACTCCTCCAACGCGATCTCCTTTTCTGTATGACCAAGGGTGATGTAACCAACTGCATGTCTTCCAATAAAAATTTCCATTTCCAATAAAAATTTCCATTTACATGTCTTCCAATTAAAAATTTCCATTTCCAGTGTCCTACTTATCATATACACGTCACAATGGCGACAAACAGTGATCATGAACACGGAAAAAAAGCCAAAGTTTCAGTTTTATGCAGTATCTCACAGAGATTTAAATGAACTATACTCAGCAAAACTGTTTCAACAATTCTCCTTCTGTCACTAAGTGTTCGATTTTATGGTTACACTATGTATATTTTGCTTGTCCAGTTACACGCTTCTGCTTTATGCTCGTAGTTTAACAGCTAGTTTTCTTTGGTAAATACATGCTAAAAGCTTTTTGTGAAGTTAAATTTTTGGCAAATACGTATTACTATTACTATTAATTTTGGTTTTATAACGAGAGTTCGCATGATCCTATCATCTACCCTTTTATTTAATTATACAATACTGATAAATTATGTATGTATGCGTTTTTCGTTAGTAAATTATCCGTTTTTATTCAAGGTGTAAAAAACGATAAAAATGTTTTCCATTTTATACCACAGAAAAGAAAAATGCTAAGAACATAACTCTTAGAAAACTGCTATATTTATACTGTCCCAAGCACATTATTTAATGCGTAGAAGACATGAAATAAATTAAGGTATTGCTTTACTATTTCCGATATAATTAAAATACAGCTTCTTAGATATGTTAAAACTTAAAACATTCAAAATTAAATATTCATTTAAAACGCCACTTGACATTTTAAGCAGATTTTCTTGGGGCTGCTTTCGAGATCTCAAATTCTTGGTCTCATTTGCTTTATAAAAGTGATCTGTGTTTTATCACTCTGTCTATTCTCATCAGTTCACAGATAAAAGGCTTACGAAGTGTTCTTTACACACTGACAATATGACATCTCTTTTAACCCTTTTTGACCAGATGACAGGTTGGAACTGTACCCGACCATCTACCCTCATCCAGGCACTGCAGAACATTTCGACCTTGAATTTTATAGCCATCTTTGCAACCAAAAACAATGGTTTCGGAAATTTCGTAGTAGAACTTCACATTCGAAATAGTGGCGCCTTTGCTCGTACCAGGATAAGGACACAATGGTACTTCTGTAAAGAAACATAATAATGATTTTATTTCATAAAAGTTCAGGAAAAGCATTGGTGTATGCGTGGTACAATTATTCTTTGATGCAAATAATAACAATTTATGTAGCAGAATTCAGATAGGGTATGACTATAAAATAAATGTAAATAGTACAATCGAAGAACAACTGAATCGAAGGCTTTGCTAAAAGACGGATGAAGTCCTAACATTTTCTAATACTGAGTAATTGGTGCAACTTTAATCTGAATCGATATCTGGAAAAGCTGAACATTTGATAAATATTTTCCAAGGCTTTTAAAGCGTTAACGCCATTTGCAGTTTAGTGTAAGGAGATATGGGACATAAAGGGATTGTGCCCCTTTATTGAACCATCATAGTTCAGGAAACTAAATTTAATTGCAAAATTTGGTAGTAAGATAACTAGATTCAACATTTTTATGTGTATTTCCTCACAATGTGCTAGATACGCACCTTTTATGAAATGAGTTATTTGAATGTTATTCCTTGAATCAGAATATGAAAATTCTGGCTGAAGGACAACACATTATATATACTGAGTTTTTAAAAGTATTTCCATTCTATAATGTAGAGAAATAAAAATAAAGTTAAGTTCACTCCAGTTATTTATACAGCATTCACAGAGCAAAAAGAAAGTAGTTTTAAATCTGGAAACTTTAAATCTGGACAGTTTAAACTCTAGAAAAGGATAAAAGATTATAAATTTAGTCAGTAATGCGGCTAAGTGTAATAACGCGGGTTTTAACTTCGTGGAAAGATACTGCATCTGTAAAAAGAAGTTTTAGTAGTTTTCATAACTTAGAAAATCTGGAGTATGCATTTTTATTGCTTCAAAGTTTTGTAAAGAGTTCATTTAAATTATTTTAGATCATGAATAACTTACAAAAGAAGAGTACAGTTTTATGATAAATAGTTATCTCAACAAAATCTCACAAAACTAAATTTAATATTACATCAAGTTACACAAGATTATTGAACCCAAATATTCGTGACGCAAAATTTCTTTGGAAAGTTATAGGATAAAACATTAATTGGAGAAAAATATAAATTACAAATTTAAATGGAGAAATAACGAATTTAAATAAAAAAAAAAGTATCTCAAGAATAAAAAAAAAAAAAAAAAAAAAAAAAAAAAAAAAAAAACTCTGATATGATAAATAATTTTTAAAATATTTCATACGCATTTTATAGTTGGCAAACGTGAATATCACATTCACTATAGTGCTTGACTAGCATTTCGCGTAATATTTGACGTGTCTAAGAATCTAGCACTGAGGATATGACCATGTTTAAGGTATAAAAGAGCCAATAAGTTATTCAATATCCATTAGAAAACGACTTTAAGACATTACAATCTATTCAATAAACTAGTGCATTGAAACTGGAAGCTATTGACTTCTTTTTAAAAATTTTCTGTGCTTTATGAAAAGAAAGCTGCTTAAATAGAACCTCTAAAGATCTAGCTAAAGTTTCTGTTTTTAATCACAATTTAATTTTTATGTTTTAAGTGCATTCGTAGTGAAATTTAAAAATGTTATATGGCTAAATATCTCTTGAAGATTTGTCAAGATTAAGCCATATTTCAAGATTAAAAAATGTGTCAAATAAAGCAGATCGTTTTACATTACGAAAAATTTAGTCATGTGACGCTTTTCAATAAATATACACGAAACGGATTAAACAGTTTTCCTTTGATAAGGTACATTTTCTACTTTTTAAAATTAATATGCTTTATTAAATTGTTTGATCAATTTGATATCCAGCTTAAAAATTTTCTAGTGAATGACTGCAAAAGAATAAAACAATTTCTTTATAAAAATGATTTCTTACTTTGGCAAACTGGTGGCTTTGCAGACCACTGTCCCGAAGGCAAACAAGTTGCTTGTTCGAAGCCGTTCAACTTGCGGCCTGGTTCACACGAGAACACTACTTTCACATTCATTTTCGTAACACTCGTGCTCAGTATTAGGCCGCCTACTTCAGGTATAGGTTTACAGTGCACAGCTGAAAAGAGATGAAGAAACTGCATTGCATGATAGACATTAAATAATAAGTGAATATGAATTACATAGACTTTCAAAAGAAAAATGTCTTTAAAGATTTAGATTTTGACTGGAATATGAAGCAAGAATTTCCATTTCGCACAAAGAGGGACACTACCACTCACCTACCAAACCATAACCACTAATAATGACTTCTGCATAAAGGTATGATTGTACCTAAGCTATGAACAAAAAAACACTGCTAACAGTTTTGGACTAATTAGGTGCCTTATTAACTAATTAGGACTAATTAGGTGCCTACAAGAAAGGGCATTAATAAAATAAAGTATAATCATATCACTAGAAGGATATAGCTCAATAATAAAACTGCTTCGGTTACTTCTATGACTGTTAAGCATTTAAAATGGAAGAAAATAAATACCATTCTAAATGAGCCTAACAGGTTAGTAAAAATAGTTAGAAATACTGCACAGAATTCTTCAAATGCATTATTCTAACCACTTTTTATGGTTACCCTTTCAAATAAGCATACGATAAAACCATCATAAACTATTTGTGTTTATATAATTGGAAGTACGCCGCATAAAATTTAAAATTAGGGGCAAAATAAGCAATTAGGATTTTGAATAAAACTATTTCGATTTTGAAGGTGAGAAAATTAAAAATCAGTGCCTATCTATGATAGCTTTTTAATTCAATATTTTGTTTTCGTTCCAATTTAGCTTGTGTTTTTGTTTGCCGTTTTACTTTTATTTCTCGAAGAAGAGGGATCAAAGTTACTTGATGTTTTCGAAATTGGTGGAATTTTCCAGTTAAGAAAAGCCAAGATTGAAATTTTGCATAATTTTATGCTTCATAAATATACATTCTTTGTTTTGTTTAAAAAATAATGAAAAGATAATCTTGCTTCTTCAGAAACTTCTCCATTAAATACTTTTACAATCTCACAATTTATAATTTTTAACGAAATATTTTAAATTTAAAATTTAATCAGCTTTGCATAGCTGAAATTAATTTTTCATTATGTTCTGCAGAAGGCTTGAATTTAAGTGATTTTTAGCCAGCTTCTCACGATTTGAAACACATCTTTAGTAAACATAACAAATATTTAAAGATAATACATAGAATAATCTGGAGGAAAAGGTGGTGTGGTGTATTTAATTATGGCAAAGCATACTAGGGCTATCTGCCTAAGGGGAGGAATGCCCTTCGTGGGGGACTTTCTAAGGGAAACTGGCTCGTATACACGTTACACATGGGGAAAACCACGAAAACTCCCATGCAGCCAGCCCGTTCGCGGGATTCGAACCTCGGACCGAACTACCAGTGTTCAGCGACTTTACCGCTCGGCCGCTGGTGGGCAATCTGGAGGAAAAACAATCTAAAATTGGAGAAGATTTTTAATAATTCAATAATTTTTAAGTTCTTCACTGATTTTGAAAAATGGCACGTATATTTCATTTAAATGCATCTTTAAATACCATTTCAAGAAACTGTTGCTGCAGCACCTGGAAACATTTCTATTTTTACAATATCCGATGTATCAAGTTATTTAAGATAGAAATTCTAGTTGCATGTTTACAACCTCTGTAAATATAAAAGATGAAATTCTCGATGAGATTCAAAAGAATTTTATTTGAATTTTGAATTAAGTCCATGATTAGCAAAGTGTTAACATTTTTCAGGAATTATCTAGGCTCTCTTTTTGGCATAATGATAGACTATAAAACTTCTTACTTTTAAAGCATTAAACACTTTTCCTGATATAGAACTATTTTATAAGTTAAGTTTCATTGATATACTTCCAGGAATAAAACATTTTGCATAAAATTACGCTAAAAGTTGCGCAAGGTAAACAAAGAACAATTATACCAAAATTCAGAAATTTCAAAGGAAGCAATTTGATTAAAAAATATTTATTTATTTATTTTTTTGAGAGCGAGGGAGGATAAAGACCAGTTACTTTTTTATGCAGATATAAAGTTTCCTTTGTTGACAGGTTTGCTAACGAAGGAAACTTTAAGTTTGCTTAGGAATGGATACGTTTTTTCTTTTTTAAAGAAGATATTATTTCAAAGTTAAAAATGCAATGTTTTATTGCAGCTGCTTTCATTAAATCGCAATAAATGATTGTTCGTTGCAATCAAAACACTGCATGCGTTGGCTTCCCTCCTTTCTGGAAGAAAGTTTCTCGTTGTTGTACCTTGAATCTGCAACCAACACTTTTTCTTAGCGACGGTCGTGGAAGAAAGTTGCATAAAAAAATTAGTACCTATAAAACAGTAATGAATGCAAATGTGTTTAAATAGCACTTACCAAGTAAAATATTTACCAAGTAAAAAAAATTCCATTAAACAATCTGTATGAACGACAACTACCTTGGAACTTTTGATATTATCTGGAACGAATGGAGTCAAGAAGCGAACACTTCCGCAGCTGGCTGATGGACTCCCTTAATTCTCAACATTTGTATTGTTGTCATTATAAACGTTGTCACTCGTGGTATAACGTATTTTCACCCTCCTTCCAGCATGCCTTCGTGGTGTAACGGTAACACCGTGTACTCTAGATGTCCACGTTCGAGTTCCTGCGAGGGCAGTGCTCGTTTTTCATACCTTCTGCTTCGAAATAATCTAATGGCTCTACAGTGGCGTTAGAATTAAAAGGTGGTGGGCAATAATTCATCACCAGCAGGGCGATTGATGGCTTACTCACCTTTAATTTCTAGTTACCCTTTAAAAGGGGAAGTGTATAACGTATTTTTACCGTCCTTCTAACATGCCTTCGTGGTGTAAAGGTAGCACAATCGGATCTTATTCGAGAGTTCCAGATTCGAGTCCCGGCAAAGGCATTGCTCATGTTTCATGTACTTCTACTTCAAAATAATGTAATGACTCTACAGTACATCTAATCTTTTTCCTGACAGGGCATGATTCGAGACTTATTTAACAAGGATGACCAGCAAGATATTAAGTATTGTAACAGTGGAGATACGGGGAATTTTGATCATTATAGCTTTCAGTAGCCTGTCATAGAGAAGATACATCCACATGAACCAATACTAGCGTTAAAGAGTGCTTCTTAATGCGCAGCAGTTTTAAAACATCATATTTTTGTATCTTGGATTCCTGAAATTTTTATTCCTTAAAAAAATAAATATAAATTTAATAGGCAGTCGCCGTGACTTTACATGTATTTTGAAAACTTTAGTCTTATTTAGCCTGTTTGGAATTGAAATATGTTTATAAGTATTTTAAGTAAATGTATTTTAAATGCTTACTAAATATAATTGACAGCTATCTTATACAAAGGATTAAAAGACTAATTTCGTACAGTTAAACAGCCATTGAGCTGAAAGCTAAGAATGAAGCAGTATTTTGTGGGTGCGTTAATAATATTAAAAGAAATAATAATAAAGAAAATCTGAAAGGATTTAGATTTTAAAGTTGCACCAGAAGCTTTTTTGTGCTCTCGTTGACCTCGCAGTTTAACTATCACTTTTGCTGGCACAACTTTTTTTTTAAACTTTATTATTAAACTTCATTTTGTTCCCACTCATGCCACATAAAATTCAACAATAAAATTAAAAAATTTAAAAAACAACATATCTTAAGAATTCTCCATTCAGTGTTAAGTGTTGCTATACGTATTTTAGCGCAGAAGAGCTATTAAAGAGTTTTGTATATTATTTCCTAGGAAAATAAACTTAAAGAAAACGATTAAAATTCTATTGTAGCAAAAATTATGACAGCTTTAATTATAAGCTGCAAAATCAAGAACTATACCAAATACTAAAACCAAAGTTCAGAAAAAAGAAGTGATTATTGTTATTGATCAGAGATTGATTGACTTTCAAGGGGAACGAACCCGTCTTCGATTAATTAAAAATAACCAAAATTAGCGAGAGTGTTTCGTCTTTTTTCCCAAGTAAGAATCGAATTACAGTCAAAAACTAATTAGAAAAGTAAAGAAAATGAACATATTTTAAAGTTTATTTTACGTTTTTAACAGTTATCTTTAGTTAAAGTTACTTTCCTATCGCTTCTAATTTCAACTTACATTGATTTCCGGCCAGAGTGTGTTTTTAGAATCGCAGTTAAATACAAACGAAGGAAGAGCAGTACTTAAGTCGAAGTTTCACTGACTTCGTTAGAGAGCCAAAGATTCTGACTAGCGCTTTCCCCTTTTGGCTGCACTCTCTCTTAAGATATAACTGCGTTCGGCCGTATTTCAGGCCCTTGATAGCTTCGCCGTTTAGTTAACATTTAGGTGCCAACTCCTGTAGAATTTTGATAGCTTCGGCTATATCTTTTTAGTTAAGTATTAGTTAAGTTTATTTCCTAGTATTCTTGAGTTATACCCCAAGTAGAGGCTTTCCTGTACGTCCTGAGAAAAGACTATCTGTTAAGCCTTATTTTTGAGCAATAAAGGGTAATTATTGAGTTTACGTTTCTGTTTGAGTTTCTTCTTGAGTTTACGTTTCTGTTTCCTGAGCTGAAGCGATTATTCGCTTACTGGTTCTCAAGGTTCCACACACTTAACTAAATTCTAGGTTGGAACCTTATAATATATTAGTTATTCTGCTTGATTTAAAGCAGGAGCCACGAACGAAACTGAATTTATGACAAAGTAAAAAAGTAAATAAAATGAACATTTAGTTAGTAATTCTGCTTAATATAAAGTACAAGCCAAAAATTAAACTGAATTTATGATTAAAGTAGTGAAATTCTTACTGTAGAAAAAAATATTCCCCGAAATCGTCACATTGAGCATAGCGAAGCAGTGCAAAATCAACATAAAATAACCGGGACATGCACAAATTAATACATTCTTATTAGATTAAGACGTCAAATCAATAAGGAAGGTATTTAAATACAGAGTTAAGTACAGAAATATGGCCAGAGAGGAATTAATTTACTTGTTTGCAAAATCTGAATCGGAGAAAAAAATGGTTATAACAGTCAGTGTTCATAGCGTTAGAATTTGATAGGGTTGTAGTAT